GTTGAATAACCATTAGAATTATGTTTAATATTATGAGCAAGTGCCGTTATATCTGAGAGACTATTTTTATCTACTTATTTCAATTTTTATGGAACCAGTGAAGGACTGCAGGCACTTCCATGAAAAATGAGTGATCCTCTGTTCCTTTTAGCAGTTCACTTAATTTGCATACATCTGCCCAGGAAATATGAGTGAACCACTTCTGGCATAAATGTGGGTTTTTTTGCTCTCTGATGCAGCCTCTTAAGAATGCATTTGATTGCTTAGATCTGGAAGATAAATCATAAATTTGTGAGTACTGTGGTCTTATATATTAAAATCCTGTTCATGAGAATGTTTATGTCAAAAATTTAAGCTGCTGGGCTATTTCTGTGTAATATGAATGAAAATTGTGATATAAGTGTCAGGTATTAATCTTTCTTCATGCACACATGATCTTATATAAGAGAATCTTTGTAATAATGATCTATGGCCAGCCTGGGAACATAATGCTACATAGGAGTTACTGAGGCTACTTCACTCCCAATGCCAGCAAAGGAGAATCTAACCAAACAAAAATAAAGAATTTCTAGCTAACACAGATCCAGATAGTGGACAATGTTTAAGTAGAGGAGGAAGTACTTGGATTTAATACTTAGTGTACCTGTGCAAAATACCCAGTCTGAGACTCTCAAGTTAATGTTTCTCAATCTACTTACGGATTATGTGGCAAATATCTAGAGGGCACCCAAAATGATTAAATGGAAAAGCAAAAGACACGAGGATAAATATAAATAAAATGAACATCAAGAGCATTTTTACGTGTGCTCTAGGAAATGCAGGGAGTGGGGGCGCTTTAATTAGCAAGCTGCACTAATTAAAAACATCCGAGCATCACGTGTATCAGCATCCCCCATGTTGAAAAATAATGGCAGGGTGCTTTGAACTAAAATTCACCGAATGAGCTTTAGTTCAAAGCACCCCATCACCATTTTTCAGCATAGCTATGCTGATACATGTGACATGGGAGCCTGCTGGTGCGTGTTTATTTCTGTGCTCCAGCAGACTCCATCAAATCTGCTCCGACATGCTGGATTTCCAGCACGTTTGAACTAGCTCCCTACAAGTCTATAGGAGCCCCAAGCCTACAGTATTTTTTAGCATGTTGGAAAGAATACAGTGTGGTATTAGTGACCTAGTGTTACCTTTTTATTATCTATAACATAGAATCATAATGGTACGTGGTAGTTTAACAAACTCAGAAAGTAATATACAGCCCAAGGAAGTTTGAGAATTGCTAGTTTGAGTCAGTTTATTTGGATTTACACTTGGCAAATAACAACTTCTGACTACTATTATCACCAGGTCAATACTGAAACAGTGGTATAACTTTCATTTCATATTTAATGGATAAACATTTTATATTACATTTCAAGCATATAATGAATCACACCTCATGTAAGGACAAGAATATTATAAGATGTTTTGTACTATATCCACTGTTATGCTCTGGTTGCTTTGCACCCCTCTGATGATACAGTGCACCCATAGGCTTGACTTAGTCAGACAATTGAGCTGAGCTTACTGTTCTTTCCCATTGCTAGAGCAGCACAAAGCCATTGGAGCATACTAGTGAATCAGTCCGATCTTTTTTTGATTTATGCATAAGGAGATTTTTTCAAGGATACAAAGAGAAGCAAGGCAGCCATCTTCCACTGATTTCTGATGAGTAGGTGGGCCTGAACTCTCTTGTGCTTATGAAACTCTTTTTAAAAGTACAAATGAAAAAGACAAAGAGCATATAACAGTAAAGTTTGATCCTGCATACATCTTGTCACTGGAAGTTTTGGAAGAAAGAATACGATATAAATGTCCTCACTGGGTGTTGGTAGTTGTTTAGCAGCTAATGCTGTACGTCTAATGCCATGGTTCTCAACCTTTTTAGATTCAAGGCACCCCTTGAAAAAAGCTACCTTACATTTCCCTTTAGGTTTACTGGCCACAATAAAAAGAGCAATTCTTCTCTTGCAAGGAACTCAACAAGATCCCAACAGGCCAGAAAGTTTTTAAAACCATGAATTCCTATATGAAATTTCTGGGTTTATCTTGTGAATCAGGTTTGCACACCTAACAATGCTAACATTGCACGGCATCCACAGTACCCTTGAAAGGATCTAATATGTGCACATTTTGTCATTTGTCATAAAATTGCTCTATTTTTCTTGTTGTCAAAAAAAAAAGTGAAAACCAAGAACTCACTTTGCTGAGGGGTGCTTTAAATCTAATAACACCCTGGTTGAAAAACATTAGACAGTGTTTACATGCTTTATGTGACTTTGTTTCCCACATTTCTCACTCATTAGCTAGAGAACCATGAATATCATGTGAAAGAAATGAACAGTAAAGAAGGGTAGCATGAAGAATGGAAAGCCAAATAATCACTTTTGTGATCAGACAGCAAGATGAGGAAAAGAAGTGAGGACTGAATTGGAAAACATCCTATTTATGTGCTATTTTCTTAGGATGATCATCAAACAGGAAGGAGTGTGTGTGTACAGATACAGCCCCAAATCGGATCCTTTTTTGAAACATTATTCTGTCACAATGGGTAGGGAGATAGGAAGTCCTTTTGATTTTAAGTACAGGATAAAAATAAGAGTAGGGGTTTCTTTCCTACATCTTCACTTCTATGTGGATTTATTATTGTGTTTTAGCCCTAGATTAGAAGCAGCAGCGCATACCTTGTATGTGCTGTACTTTTTAGAAGCTGGGTAGAAACCAACTTTCTATATATTTTGATAATGTTCATATTCTCTTGTTCTAAAGAGGTAAACATCTGTAGACATGTACAAAAGGATTAGGTCACAAATTTCACTCAAAAGGCCAAGGTCAAAGATCCACGTAAATATAGCAGTCCATCAGGCTATCATGGTTAAAACATGCCAGTTCTGCAGTCAGTGGCCTGCAAGAGAACGGTGGAATTCCATCTTCCCATATACAGTTCCCCAGGGACCCAGTTAGAGCTGGAACAGACTGAAGGAGGTAGTCTTTGGCATGAATCTAGAGTGAGGCTTCAAACTCATGGGTTCTAGAGCCATAGCAAGATGTGTTAGCCACATTGAATGAGAAACTAATGAAACACTGAAGGAGATGCTGTAGGAAGAGGAGATAACCATGTTAGGAGGCAGAGCAGGAAAGAAAACTAAACATTTTTTCCCCCAGAAAAATAACAGACAAGACAAACTGTGCATATACTAGAGCAGAAGTTAGGTCCTGATTCAGCAAGGTACCTAAATTCAAACCTATTTAGCAAATCATATACTTAACTTTAGGCCACTTAAAATAAAAATGTAAAGATGACCTAGATTAGTGTTGCTTTGGTCTGTTCAACAGCTAATAAGAATCAGCCATTATAAGAATGGAGCACGTAAGAAGCCCCTGCACTAAGGGCTGCAGGCATGGGCATGCTCGGTGCCTGCCCCCACAGCCAAGTGTGGCAGGGCAGTCTTCAATAATAATTGTTGTTAATGAAAACCTAATAGACTTTATTAAAGAATTTCATGTGGTGAGCTTTACTTAAGTTGTTGTTTAATAAGTGGTGAGCTTTACTTTCTTAAAATAGCTGAAGAACAGCCTGTGTGCTGCTGTTTGATGGTAATCAGCCCCATGTCGGGCTCCCTCAGCTGATCAGAGGCATGCAAGAGCCCCCCCTGAAAACTGCCTGAAATGACTCTGGTGAGCCTGAAGGGAGCCCATTTTCTCTCTTCAAGAGCTTGAATTACAGTGGTCACTAAACATAAGCTCTGATGAATGGGAAGCAAATGAACCACGAAGGGGGGAAAGGCAAGGAAGTAAAGGGTGCAGAAGTATGACAACATGGCTATTCAGTTTAATGCATTTTTAATTGAAGTTTAATATACTTGTTTCTTGTAAGCCAGGCTGCATGATTTAAATATATCAACCAGATGTCCAGGTGGCTTGCTTCCTCTAGTTTGGCTCAAAAATGAACTAGTTTTGCATTTTAGGCTTTTACATTCATTCTGCAAAAATCCAGTCTTTCTTGTTTTCCCTGGACAGTCTGCAAGATGTGTGTCTTGTGTTAGTTTCCAGCTCTGCTAATTTGTTTTCTCCTCATCTGTTCCCAGTGCATTGATTTTAATTACACTTGTTTTACAAACTGATTCTTCCTATACCCCCCACAATTCTCTCTCTCAACTGCTCTAACACTGTTAATTAAAGCATTTTGTAAGAATTGACCCAAATTCTGTTTTGTTTTGCTCCAGTATCAATACACAATTTCACTGAAAATCAGTTACTTTAAACTTACTGCAGCATAAATATGGCTCAAACTCAATCTTACAGTGACAATTACAGACATCTGAATTGAAAGGAAAAAATACAGACACATCCAAAAAACAATGTTTGGGCCTTGTCCTTAATAGATTTTTGTGTCATCAACATTATGTCAAGTGATGATTATGTGATAAGAAAATTAAAAATTATAAGGACAGGGAAATAAGAATTGGATGTTGCTAACAGTCAAGTTTGTTGATATACATATTCTAATGTAATGGAAACGTATTGCATCTTGGTGGCAGAATTTTTTTTCAGTTCTAAAACAACATAGGAGAAGGATTTCTAAATTATTTCTGACATTATATATAATGATGATTAATCCTAGCCACTGCATTTCGCCACTGATCACAATTTCAATGTATATGCTGAAAACCAAGAAACAAAAGGATTTTATTTTTATTTTTTATATATCTAAAGCTGTGGTTTTTATAATGAATTGCTTTTCAGTTGAGTGATGAAGTGCCTTTTTAAAGTAGAAGTTGATTATGCTCCTTTTTCTGAAAGGGGATGTTTTGTAAAAGTGCAGAAAATTAAACGAAGCCTAGAAGGGGTGTGTGTTACTTACAACTACATTTGTACCAAACGCTAAAATGTCAGTAGTTAATTTCTCAAAGGTTGAAGAGACATCTGCTGATGTTTAATAGACTTTTGCTTTTGTTCTACAGAAAAATTCAAAGGAAGAGGAAAAGCAGGTTCTCATTTTGATACAGCACGAAGACGAAGTAGAGCTGTCCTTTATCATATCTCCGGACACCTACAAAGAAGAGAGAAGAACAAATTAAAAATTAATAAAGTAGGTGTAATTCATACAAGCTTCATTTTTCCCCTCTTTTTGGCAATTCTATTCCCTTGCTGCTGAAAGAGCAGAAGATGGTCTCCATAGCCTTACTAATTATTTTTCATTTTCTTTGACAATTTCTTTGAATTGACATTTCTTTTAAAGACTGTACTGTAAAAGGTCAACAAATATCTAAGGAAAGGCTCTAATCATAGTATTGTAGCCAGTGCATAAAACTATATTGGACAGACATAGCTATAGTATTTCTGCTACTGTTTATGAACCTGGGATGTATGTTTATATACAGGTTAAACATTATACATACAGATTTTTTTTTCTGCAAAGGAAAAAAGCAATATGAACTTTTTCAAAAATTTAAAATGTTAACCTCCAATTTTCTCCTGTGTAATTATTTTTATGCTTTTTACCAAAGGACCTTTGAATAAACTCAAGTCACTACTCTAGTTAGACCTATATATTGTACACAATCCAGAAGATGTTATTGAGGATAACATTTGATATGAATATATCTAACTTAGTACAATACAAAAGAAGTCATGTACTGGCATTTTCATTGCAGTAATACTCTCTTTGACTTAAGAAAATCCTGATGGTAATTTCTAACACATCACACAATATGGAAGCTCACAGATTACTCTGTAAATGATGCTTCTTTGTTTTTATTTTTACCTATTAGTTTTATTCTGCATCAGTCTGTCTATTATTTAGTTACTGCCTTCAAGTCCAAGTAGGCACAAAGTAAAATAATGATGAATTCTGGGTAAAGCCCCTAGGCTTTCCTCCTTATACTTTATTGGGCAGATGCAGCCTTTAAGTGTTACTATGGTGCCCTCAGTGTCTACCGTCTTTCTTCAATCAGTGTAAATGTCTAAGTAAACTGGTAAGCCCCATAGTGCTAGTCATTGGCTTGATGTGACACTGGGACCTCAAGTACCCAGTTCTCAGCTGTTATAAATCGGGTTGACCCCACTTTCATCGGTGTTTTTGGTTTGTTTTGGTTTTTTGGTTTGCTTGGGTTGTTTTTTTTTTTACAGCTGGCCCAAAGTATGATTGAACTCCTACTGCAAATAGCTTCTCTGCAAATAAATACATTTAGTGGGGAAGAAAAGGGAAGGAATGTACTTTTTAAGCTGAGGGACAAGGATGGCACAAGAAAAATGAGTATAACTGATGATGAATAAACTTAGTCTGGGAATTTACATGGCTTCTAACCTCCTAGTTCTTGAAGGTTCTGTTAGTCTTCCAGCAGGAGAAGTAGGGATAAGAAACTTACTGGTTTTAAGATGAGCCCACCATGTATTTATGAATGGAATTATGTCCCTTTCAGTCCTATGTTCTTAGCATTGCCTTCTGCCTGACTTGAGACTAGCACATCTACTTCTTTCTTGGCATTGTAGCAATTGTAAAGCAGACAACATTTACTGCCTTCTGCCTGCCTAGCACACTCGGACCCTATGGCCATCAAGCCAAATTTGTCAGTCCGCTAGCAGCAGGACTTGCCACTCTTGGGCCCTATATATGTGGCAGTGAAACCACATGTTTGAAAAGGAATCCTGTGGGAAATAGAAACAAGGTTAACTTCAATGCTAGTGCTGATTCCAAATATTTCTTGTAGTCTTACACCTTACATCTCTGATAGTAATCATCGCAGATGAAGGGAGAAGGGATGCTAGAAGGGAGGAATAGGCTGCAATTGGACCTAGACAGGTTACAGGGGTGGGCAGATGAAAACAGGATGGGTTTCAACACTGACAAGTGCAAGGTGATGCACCTGGGGAGGAAGAACCAGCGGCATACCTACAGGCTGGGGAACTCCCTTCTCATCAGTGCAGAGGCAGAAAAGGATCTTGGAGTCATTATTGATGCCAAAATGAATATGGGCCAAAAGTGTGGGGACGCGGTCAGGAAGGCCAACCGTACCTTGTCATGCATCCACAGATGCATCTCAAGCAGGTCCAAGGTGATCCTCCCCCTCTGTGCGGCACTAGTCAGGTCGCAGTTGGAGTACTGCATCCAGTTCTGGGCGCCGCACTTCAGGAGGGATGTGGACAGCATTGAGAGGGTTCAGAGGAGGGCCACCCGCATGATCGGGGCAGCAGGGCAGCTACGAGGAGAGGCTATGGGACCTGAACCTGTTCAGCCTCCACAAGAGAAGGCTGAGGGGGGATCTAGTGGTCTGTTACAAACTAGTCAGAGGGGACCAGCAGGTATTGGGAGAGTCCCTGTTCCCCTGAGCACTACCAGGAGTGACTAGAAATAATGGTCACAAGCTGGCAGAGGGTAGGTTCAGACTAGACATCAGGAGGCGCTACTTCACTGTCAGGGCAGCTAGGATCTGGAACCAACTTCCAAGAGAAGTGGTGCTGACTCCTATCCTGGGGCTCTTTAAGAGGAGGCTAGGTGAACACCTTGCTGGCGTCATTTGACCCCAGTGCTCTTTCCTGCCATGGCAGGGGGTCAGACTTGATGATCTGTCAAGGTCCCTTCTGACTCTACAAACTGTGAAACTATGGATGGCCTCCAAGATGGCACCAGGTGGTTTGCTAAGTCTGATTTTATAGTCTTGTGGGAGGGAAGAAGAAATCCACATAAACATTAGATAGAATTACATTCCTTGTACTTAAGGACATCCAGAGATCATTCCTTGACAAGTCCTTCCATAGCACCCTAAAAAGGCTGGGAGACGTTATGAGCTATGGTGCCATCCCCCATGTGAGGTAGAATAATTCTTTTTGGCCTTGCAAGGTGGGGGTATGCCTCTCTTCTATTAAAAGGACTTATCAGTGTGTGACTTCTGGCATACAAGTAAATTCTGATAGGCCTTCTCTGAGCACAGGTATTATGAAGAGACAGCACAGCTCCTCACAGCTATACATGGCACAAACTAACCCTCAGGCTAGGGGAAGACATTAAAAAAACCTGAGCCTGAATTGATTCAGTCTTTGTAGGTTAGTTTAACCTGCCTAGGTTGAATCAATTTGTGACTGTACAGACATTCCTTTCCAACTGAGGAAATGCAGGCACATGCCAGGGGGCACTAGAGCAGCCCTCCCCTCCCTTCTACAGAGCTGATCTAAGGGGGATGTGGCCAGGCCCCAGAAGGATGCTCTGATTAGGGAGGGGTGTAAACCCCCACCCTGCCTGAAGTCCCAGGCTTTTCCCTGCTCGCTGCTCAAGGGACAGGAGTGTTGCCAGACCCCAAACACCAGTTAGCACTCTGAGGCAAAGGGGAGCTGTGCAGTGCATGCATCTGTTGATGATACTGGGCTTTTCAATCTTCCTCTCCCTGTTTCTTCATACTGTCTGCAAACCTGATGGGTAAGGGAGCCAGCAGGGGGCTGATAACATAGCATTTATCAGCCCATTAGCAAAACAAAAGTTTCTCTCATTAGTTGAAGCCCTTCTTAAACAGCTTTTTCCAAGGAAGGAATGGAGGGACTTTACCAGGAGACCTGCTGATTAGCTCCAAAAAGTCCTAAGTAGACACTGTTCTGTCTATCTGTCCCAATGAAATTGGACAGATGGATGACACAGACACCTCAGCATTGGCTAACATACCACATGCCTAGGGTCCATGGGGCTGGGGTCCGTGCTGTGGAAGATGGGAGGGAGGGAGAGGGTATCCCTGCTTGAGCAGTGAGTGTCTAAAAGGGAGTGGGGCAGGGAGAGCCAGACAGACCCTACTGTGCCTGCAGTCTCTGCCGGAGCTCTGGCTAGGGAACAGAGGGGTAGGGCCAGCTTTGTTCTCTGAAGCAGACAGCCCAGCCCAGGGCTGCAAAGTATGCTGGGATGCTAGGGAACTCTGGTTTAACTTAAACCAGGAAGAGGTCTAAAATAGAAATTGTATAAACTGGTTTGACCCAAATCACTTAAGTGTGATACTATATTCAACCAGGTTTATCTTAAACCAGTTTCAGCCATTTTGAAACTGGCTTATGTGCACTGAACATCTGTTTTGTTACAGGCTTAAACCAGTTTCTGATCACTTAAACCCGTTTGTGTAACGTCTGTCCCTAGTCTTAATGATTTAGTCCATTCCCATTGCCAGCACTCTAATGCAATATTCATGGAAAGTCCTCTTAGTGTTAGAATGGGGAAAATAAATTTGCATTATATTTAGCTGATATCTGGAAGTTCACACTGATATGGATACATGTTATGAGCTCCTTCCCCAAAGGGCCACTGTCAGCTTCAGCATGAGTCGGTGCATCTCCACTGAACCAAAGGGAGCCATACAGGTTTAAATCTGTCTGGGGCCTTAACAAAGAGCACAGCTAATTGTGAAGTTAGCCAAATTTGCCTGAGGCTGTAAACAGCAGCGCCACCCTCCCCCCAAATGAAACAGCTGGCCACTGTTGAGGTTTCCTGATTGGCGACTAGGGAGAGAAGTTTACACATTTAAGTCTACCTGTAGCAGAAGACTGCAAGCCAACCAAGTTTTGTTTGAAAATCTGCTGCAGTAAGCCTCCCTGGAACCTCTTGGTTCTCTGACTCCTGAACCTGCTTGTCTCTGCTTCTGGATTCTGGCTTTTTGGAAATTCCCTTTGGATTTAGTTATTTGGTCTCTGACTCCTAAGCCCTGATTTGTCCTGTGCATTTTGGACTCTAGCTCTGGAGACCTTTGGTCCCTGATTCCTAACCTCTGACTTAGGCTGTGATTTGGACTCTGCCCCAGCCCCTGCCCCTAACCAATAGGCAAGATTGCTTATGACCCTGATCCTTTCAGTACCAGTTTTAGCCCGCAAGGTTTTCTTTTTTTCTTTTATCTTTTATTTTAGTTGAACCTATATACAGATTCACTCAAGCAGCTTGCATGAGTAAAAGTACTCAACAGTAAAAGGAATGCCTCATGCTGTACTCTATACCAGTGGAGTGTATGACTGTTCCTTAGTTCCAGTGTAATAGAGGGTGCCAACCTTGCAACAGATATGAAGTTGCAGCTACTGTAGGGCTGCCTGGTCATTATACTTTTTGGTTTCTGTGTATTTGCCATG